CCTTTGGGGATTATCAACGTTTTAAAAAAAAGAATTAGCCCGAAATTTCAAAATTTGCAAAAGTTAGAGCACTAACGGACATTTCTCAAAAAATTCAATTTTTTTCAAAAGGAAACCCATTCATAGATCATCGCAAAAATCATAACGAACATTCCTTAGGTGATTCTCGACGTTTTAAAAAAAAAATTAGCCCGATATCTCAAAATTTACGGAAGTTAGAGCAACCACAAACATTCGAATGAGCGTACATACACACATACACACATACACACATACACACATACAGACATTTTGTAAAAATATATTTTTTTTACGTTTTAAAATATTTTAAACATATTCCCAAAGAAAACTGGAAAAAAATTTTTTTCACGAAAACAAAGCTTCCTCTATGAGGAAGCAAAATGCCTACGGGTGTAACAACGAACATACAATTGGACCAACTGGCAAGACGAATGCGTATACGACACTTTAGAGGTGTCTTCATGCGAAACATGTTACCAATTAGCGGTATACGTCGAAATGAGAGCGGTATCGTGAATCTGGATGACGCGGCAGGTCCCGGTACTCACTAGGTAGCGTACGCAAAGAGGGGAAACCACGTAGTGTATTTCGACAGTTTTGGTAATCTCCGACCGCCTAAAGAACTGGTGCAGTATTTCGGTGACGGGGTGAAAACGATAGAGTACAATCGAACGATTTATCAGACCTACGATCAAAGTATCTGCGGACAGCTGTGTCTACGGTTTCTCCAAACGGTTGACGATAGATTCATGCAAATTTAAAGTCTGGTGAGACGTCGCGAAGACTCAGTATTCGTTGGATAGTTTTCTCGCCATGTCGTTGACACTCACGCTAACGGGAAAGAGCACCGTGCTCGCGGTAAACTACTTCCCAGCGATAGATTTGAGTGACGGTGACTACGAGCTCGGTTTGATGAATTCTGAAACTTATAACACGATATCGAATGTGAATTCTTCGAATAATAAATTTTACTTTGACGAAAACAATACGGAAATTACAATTCCCGAAGGATCCTACGAACTGCAAGCGATAAATGAGTTTTTGAGAAATGCAATTTCACGAAAACTTCCACACCAACGTCTCATGGCTGGTACTAATAACAGCGATAAAAAACGCGGTGATGTTCAGACAAACGATATCGACGAAAACGAAGAATATCCGATAGTGCTGCGCGCTAATCACAATACGATGACGAGTGAAATTATAAGCGCCTTCAGAATAAACTTTAACAAGCCTAACAGCATTGGATCGCTTCTGGGATTCTCATCGACGCGTATATTGCAACCGTGAAAATGGCACAAATCGGACCTACCGATTAACATTATTGTTCACGCGTAGATTGAATAGCGCGCTAGTAGAGGCGCCCGCGTAAGCAAATTTAGTTACAGCGCTAACAGCGCTACCGGTTAGGAGAGGCGCCAGCGTAGCCAATTAGTAGCAGCGCTTACAGCGCTTCCGGCTAGAGTTAGAAGAAGATTTCCGCTCAATCGCTTGTACGCACTATAATAAAAAGTACAAAGTTTTCACTACTGAATTTTGGGATAATACCTATCTCAGGCGTGTCCTACCTGCTTCACCATTCATCCACTGAGATTCACGGTCGTTAAGCCGTAACATTGGTCCTTCGAGCCGGATAAAGCAAGAGACACTCAACATCGCAAGATTCAGTTCGCAGTTCGCTCGACCTGCTCGGGATACAGAATGGCGGCCCTTGATAAATTAATCAGGCGTCGAGCCTACGTGAAAGGGCGTGTCACCTCGATATCAAACTGGGCAAGTTCGTTTGATAAATCGACCAATAAAGCTTCCGAAATTACGGCTATGTTGAACGCGTTGGAACGCTATCGCGTAGACTTCGCGCAGCTGCAAGATCAAATCGAAGAGTGCGTAGATATATCGCCGGACGAACAAGAAAAGGAGAGAGGGGAACACGAAGACAGTATCGTACGAATAGAAGCTCATCTCCGTGATTTGCAACTAAGTCACTAAGTGTCACGGAGGCCGGTCAGACCACAATCGGGAATGATGCAACCGTGGTAACCTCAAATTCACGTGCGGCCTCTATGGATCTCAGTACACACGCTACGATAAAACTACCTGAAATCAAGATCACAACATTCGACGGAGAATGGGAAAATTGGCTCAGCTTTAAGAACGTCTTCACTGAGCTCATCCATAATAACCAGCAGCTAACGGATGCTCAGCGTTTCTATTATTTACAATCTTATGTCATTGCAGGTTCCGCCAAACAGTATATAGACTTGCCACTCACAGCGGAAAATTATTCAATCGCTTGGAAACAACTCCGAGATCATTTTGACAACGAGTCAAGAATCGTCAAGAAACACGTCAAGGGACTGTACGAATTGAAGAAATGCCAGGAAGACTCGGCATCATCGCTTCAAGCATTAATCGACGGCATATGGAAGAACTTTCACGCTCCAAAGGCGTTAAGTCAGCCCGTTGATCAGTGGGATGCATTGCTAACGCATCTCATCCTGACAAAACTAGACGCAAGGTCGAGAGGCGAGGTAGAAAAAGCAGCGCCTTCCGACAGGCTGCAGACATTCACGGAACTGATGACGGTACTGGCCGACCGCGTCAGAATTCTCGAAGCCGTGTCGTCTGTGGAACCGAACAAGGCTAAATCAAAGGTCGATAAATCAAGTAAGTCGTTGGTAGCAATGAATGCATTGCCGTGTCCCATATGCAAAGGTGAGCATGCTATATTCAGATGTAAGTCGTTTTTGGATATGACTCCTCAATTAAGGTTAGAAACCGTTCGCAAGCGTTCTCTGTGCTATAATTGTCTCATGTCTGCGCATACCAAACAGGATTGCAAGGCCGGGAATTGTCGAATCTGCCATAAGCGTCATCATACGCTGTTACACTTAAAAACTAGTGCTATCGTTAATCAGTCTACTCCACAGGCATCTAACGTTACTACCCCTTCCACGGAAACTGTTGCGTCGAATGCTGGTCAGGAAATTAAAACACAGCCCACAACGGCGTGCAGTCTGCATGTCAATTACGATGTTAAGCCAGGTCCGGTTCTTTTGGCGTCCGCTATTGTTAAGATTCACGATAGTTGCGGACGAGAGTACTTAGCGCGGGCCTTATTAGATGGTGGTTCGCAGTTTAGCTTCATGACGGAGCGTCTACGTCAACTCCTGCAATTAAAGGGAAAACGGGGACGCTTTGATGTGACGGTATCAACTGCACGAGGACAGCAACTAACACCTCCGTGCATGCAACTATCAGGTCTCGTCTGTCGAACTTTACAGCTTCTTCCGAGTTTCTGATCACGGATAAGATCACGGGTGATCTACCACAGCAAGAAATTACGGTCTTGAAGATACCTAAACACATGCAACTGGCGGATCCTCACTTCAATGTGCCGAACCGGGTTGATATCCTCATCGGTGCAGATATCTTTTGGGAGTTGCTTACTGGTGAAATAATAACAATACATTCCAACCAACCTAAGCAATATGGAACGCACTTAGGATTTGTCATTGGTGGCAAGGTTATGGTAAAACAACCGTCGCAAAACGTTGTCTCTCTTACATGCATGGGCAATCTACATGAAGAAATGCATAGATTCTGGCAACAAGAGGAATTACCAAGCAAGGATCTTCTGTCAAGGGAAGAGATCGAATGCGAGCAGCACTATCAATTACATACGAAGAGGGAAGAAGACGGACGTTACGTTGTCACACTACCTCTCAAGCCTATTATTCAAGGTTTATCCGACACGCGTGAAGCAGCTTTGCGACAATTCGTGCGATTGGAACGCCGATTGCAAAATGAACCCACAATCATGCAGATGTATCAAAAATTTATGGAGGAATACATTCAGCTCGGACATGCGGAACTGGCCATCGAGAATGAACCAAAGGATTCTCATCCTTCGTACTACATGCCACATCACAATGTCCTGAAACCGAACAGTAACACTACAAAATTAAGAGTAGTGTTCAACGCTTCATTTCGCATCAATCCCTACCTGTCACTCAACGATGTTCTAAAGGTAGGCCCTACAGTACAAGATGATCTGTTTACGCTCATTATTCGTTTCAGAGGACACATATATGGGCTTACTGCTGATATATCCAAGATGTACCGACAGATAAAGGTTGACAGAAATCAAAGAGCTCTCCAGCGCATTTGGTGGCGCAATAAGGATACAGGCAAGATATCCAGCTACCAACTGACGACGTTAACCTACGGTACATCTAACGCCCCTTATCTCTTTACGCGCACGTTGAGACAATTGGCACTAGATGAACAAGGGTCGTTCCCGCGTACTGCTCAAATCCTGTCAGAGGACTTCTACGTGGACGATCTGATATGCGGTGCGGAAACCGAAGAACAAGTGACTTCGTTGCAAGCGGAGTTAATTCAACTGCTGAAACAAGGAGGCTTCGATCTGCACAAATGGGCTTCCAATTGCAAGGATGTAGCTCACGGTCACTCCGACGTTGTAGATCTCATCAAGACAAATAAGCAACAGATACTAGGACTGGTCTGGGAAACGCAAACAGATGAATTTATCATCTCCTGGAACATCTCTGATTCGAAGGAGACTCACACTAAGAGGGAGCTTCTTGCGGAAATAATGAGGCTCTACGACCCACTAGGTATATGCGCACCCATGATCTTCAGGGCAAAGTGCCTACTGCAGGAACTTTGGAAGGTGCCTAACGTCCAATGGGATGACCCATTACCGGATTCAATACAAAGGGATTGGAATAGATTCCGCAAGCAGGTTACGGGTGAAATACAAATACCTCGATGCATTCGTCCGCCATCATCCAACCAATTTGAACTACACGGATTTGGAGATGCATCTGAACTCGGATATGGATGTGGTATATATGTCCGAGCTCTCTCCGAAGAGCAAACCGTAACCACATGACTGCTATGCACCAAATCGCGGGTAGCACCGTTAAAGAAATCAACTATTCCACGGCTGGAACTTTCAGCAGCCTTAATTTTGGCCGAGTTGACACAAAGGGTAAAGTTGGCGATGAAATTGCATTTTCGGAAGGTTATACTATGGACTGATTCAACCATCACGTGGCATCGAATTCAGTCGGATCCATCGCGATTCTCCACATTCGTCGCTAACCGAGTCATGAGAATTCAGGAATTATCAGCTCCGGAACAATGGAGGCACGTTCCTGGAGAATTAAACCCAGCAGATATAGTTTCCCGAGGATGTTTGCCGAACGCGCTAAGGGATTGCGAGACATGGATGCACAGGCCGAAATTCTTACAAGGGGATACAAGTTGTTGGCCTAACAACGTTTTACATCAAGATGACTGCGAAGCCGTAGCGGATCCGGAGGTGAAGCTGACATCCAAGTCTATTGTATGCAACCTTGGTTCAAGCGATCCACTAACGTCCAGATATTCCAATCTTAATCGACTGCTGAGAGTGACGTCATGGATTTTACGATTCATCAACAATGTTCGAGGATCATCCACATCTAATGTTCTAGGACAACTACAAGCATCAGAATTATCCAAGGCTCTCGAGGTATTAGTACGGCAGGCACAAAGGAAGGATTTCGAAGGGGAAATTAATCTACTAACAACCGGCGCAGAACTCAGCAACAACAGTTCTCTAACGCATTTACGACCTTTCTTAGATGACAACAACGTCTTACGAGTAAACGGAAGATTGCATAATGCAGACATAAACGAGGATCAACGGCACCCAATGTTGCTATCCAGCAAAAATCCACTCAGTACACTTCTTGCGCGACATCATCATACGTCCAATTTACATGCGGGTCCTCAAGCACTGTTATACTCCCTGCGTCAACAATTTTGGATTTTAGGAGGACGAAATTTATCGCGACGGATCGTGCACAAGTGTGTAAGGTGTTTTCGAGCGAGGCCCAGGCTCATCCACCAATTGATGGGTCAGCTACCTCCTGCCAGAGTCAATCAGACTCGCCCATTTTCGAAGGTAGGCGTGGACTTTTGCGGACCATTTATCTGTAAGCCAAGGGTTCGCAGCAAGGCCTTACTCAAAACCTACATTTCGGTCTTCGTCTGTTTCGCGACCAAGGCGATCCACCTGGAGGTGGTCCACAGATCTAACTACGGAGGCATTCCTTGCGGCGCTCAGGCGCTTTATCTCTCGTAGAGGGCGATGCTCAGATATCTACAGTGACAATGCAACTAACTTTGTAGGAGCAGATCGCTCACTCCAGGAACTGAAGAATCTGTTCGAAACTCAACGTCACCAAACAACTTTGCACAACGCTTGCTCCGAGGAGGGCATAACTTGGCACACCATAGCACCCAATTCGCCTCATTTTGGTGGACTATGGGAGGCTGCCGTCAAGGCTGCTAAGCACCATCTTAAACGTGCATTGGGCTCGATGTCTTTCACCACCGAAGAGCTTAATACCGTAGTAATTCAAGCTGAGGCTTGCCTGAACTCGGGGCCAATCACACCTATGTCTACCGATCCAGCGGACTTAGAAGCTCTCACGCCAGGGCATTTTCTGGTCGGAGCTCCTTTAAATGCTCTACCGGAACCAGATTTGACGGATATCAACCTAAACCTAAACCGGCTGTCGAGATGGCAACGATTGCAACAGCAGCTGCAATTATTCTGGAGACGATGGTCGACGGAATACCTATCAGAACTGCACTCCCGTGCAAAATGGAACCGGAAGCGAGACAACATAAACGTAGGAACGATGGTACTACTTAAGGATGAGCAACTCCCTCCGATGAAGTGGACTGTGGGACGAATCACGGAGTGCCACGCTGCAGCGGATGGACTAGTGAGAGTCGTTTCCGTAAAAACCGCGCGCGGATTGTATAAACGAAGTATTACGAAAGTTTGTCCCTTACCTATAGACACTTAATATTCGCATATTATTACTTAACCGACAAATGTAACGAAACAACTTTACTTTCATATTTACAGTTCATGTTTATTTTTGCTAAGGATATAATAGTTACTCATTTCGATGTTGAAATTTTTTATTTCAAGGAGGTCGGAATGTTCACGCGTAGATTGAATAGCGCGCTAGTAGAGGCGCCCGCGTAAGCAAATTTAGTTACAGCGCTAACAGCGCTACCGGTTAGGAGAGGCGCCAGCGTAGCCAATTAGTAGCAGCGCTTACAGCGCTTCCGGCTAGAGTCAGAAGAAGATTTCCGCTCAATCGCTTGTACGCACTATAATAAAAAGTACAAAGTTTTCACCTACTGAATTTTGGGAGAATAGCTATCTCAGGCGTGTCCTACCTGCTTCACCATTCATCCACTGAGATTCACGGTCGTTAAGCCGTAACAATTATCAACGTAAATATTATCCGCGTAGAGTGCAATGTGACCGCGGGTGCGTACAGCAACAACAAGCCCGTGCACACGATACACGAGTTTTCGCCGAGCGTGCCGCCGGGATATAAGATGTCGATAGCGCCATCGCAAATCATTTATCTGCCGATCATCACACGGAGTATTACGGATCTAACCATACGTGTTGTCGACCAGAACGGACGATTACTCGACTTTCGTGGAGAAGAGATTACCGTTAGATTGCACGTACGACGCTGTAAGCGATAACGTGCGCGCGCGTCAGTGTATATGCTATGCTCGTGTTGAACGGATCGGAGCAAATTGTGAGAAATAACGCAATTTTGAAGGAGCCAACGATATCAACGTTTGATCGCAGTATCAAGTCATCCAGGAGCTGCAAGAAGAAAAAGCTCAATACATCAAATGTGGAATTTTTAAAATCATTGGGATTCGCGGTGCGAAACATTTGAATAATGACTGACATGCTCATCGGGAAGGAGCCAATCTTTGACGATCGCATCGTCAAGATTGAGACTCACACATACAATCCATTCGCCAACACAACATTTGGATACATTTGGATGAGATACGAATACCTATACAACAACAGGATCTCTATACGTTGCCACATGAAAGTTTTCTGTACATCGAGGGAAAACTAACTACAGCCAAACAAATCGAAGGATCTGATGTAATACTGGGAAATAATTGCGTCGCGTTCAAGTTCGATGACATTCGATATGAACTTGACGGCGTTGAGATTGATCGTACCAGAAATGTCGGAATAACCATCACGCTCAAGACCTATGTCTCGACATCATTCGATAAAATGATATCTCTGAAGAATGCCGCTTGGGATGTGTCGAACAATGGGAAGGAAGATTTCAATTTTTGCGTACCGCTCAGCATGCTATTGGGATTCTGTGAAGATTACAAACGCGTGGTGATTAACGCTCGTCACGAATTGATTTTAATACGATCGCGCAACGACAGCAATTGTCTGTTTGGAGCTATAGCACTGGAGCCGCAGCTTGAAATATTCAAGATACAATGGCGAATGCCGCATGTGCTGTTAAACGAGGTGAACAAGCTATCGATGCTGCGTGCTTTGGAAAGCGGACAATACCTTAACATGGGTTTTCATTCATGGGATCTCTATGAGTTTCCACTATTGCAGCGGACGACTAAGCATTCGTGGGCTATTAAAATGGCTACTCAGCTCGAGAAGCCGCGGTATGTTATTTTCGCTCTGCAAACAAATCGAAAGAATATCATGTCTGAGAATGTGAGTCAATTCAATCACTGCAAATTGAGCAACGTAAAACTCTATCTGAACTCGGAATGTTATCCATATGACGATATGAATC